ATTCAGTTGGGTAAATCTTTCCTTTTCGCCTTTGCCTTTCGCTTTCCTTCTTTCCTCTGCTATTTGTAAAGCCTCATCAGAAAGCCACTTTGCTTTCTTGCATTTCTTTTTCTTTGGGATGGTGGTGATTGCTGCCTCCTGTACAATGTCACGAACCTCCGTCCATAGTTCTTCAGGCACTCTATCTATCAAATCCAGACCCTTGAATCTATTCTTCACCTCTACTGTATATTCATCAGGGATGCGATCTAGGTCAAACCTGAATGGCCTCGTGGTTTTCCCAATTTTCTTCAGTTTAAGTCTGAATTTTGCAATGAGTAGCTCATGATCTGAACCACAGTCAGCTCCAGGTCTTGTTTTTACTGACTGGATAGAGCTTCTCCATCTTTGACTGCAAATTATATAGTCAATCTGATTTCGGTGTTGCCCATCTGGTGATGTCCATGTGTAGAGTCGCCTCTTAGGTTGTTGGAAAAGGGTGTTCGCTATGACCAGTGTGTTCTCTTGACAAAACTCTGTTAACCTTTGCCCTGCTTCATTTTGCTTTCCAAGGCCAAACTTGTCTGTTATTCCGGTTACCTTTTGACTTCCTACTTTAGCATTCCAGTCCCCTATGATGATGAGGACATCATTTTTTGGTGTTAGTTCTAGGAGGTGTTGTAGGTCTTCATAGAACCGGTCCACTTCAGCCTCTTCTGCATCAGTGGTTGGGGCATAGACTTGGATTACTGTGATGTTGAATGGTTTGCCTTGGAATCGGACCGAAATCATTCTGTCGTTTTTGAGATTGTATCCCAGTACTGACTTTTGCACTCTCTTGTTGACTATAAAGGCCACACCATTTTTTCTACGAGATTCCTGGCCACAGTAGTAGATATAATGGTCTTCTGAGTTATATTCGCCCATTCCTGTCCATTTTAGTTCACTGATTCCTAAGATATTGATGTTCAGTCTTGCCATCTCATTTTTGACCACGTCAGGCTTACCTTGATTCATAGAGCTTACATTCCAGCTTCCTATGCCGTATTGTTCTTTGCAGCATCGGACTTTCCTTTCACCATCAGACACATCCACAGCTGAGCGTCCTTTCGGCTTTGGCCCAGCCGCTTCACTCTTTCTGGGGTTACTTGTACTTGCCCTCTGCTCTTCCTCAGTAGCATATTGGACACCTTCCGACCTGACGGGCTCATCTTCCGGCGTCATATCTTTTAGCCTTTTGATACTGTCCATGGGGTTTTCTTGGCAAAAATACTGGAGTGGGTTGCCATTTCCTTCTCCAGGGGATTCGCTTGGTCTGAGTTCTCTGCTATGGTCTGTCTGTCTTGGGCGGCCCTCCACGGCATAGCCCACAATGTCATCGAACCACACAAGCCCCCTCGCCACGACAAGGCAGTGATCCATGAGGGGGACTTTTTACCATAGTTTCTATTTAACTAAAAAAGATTAATAATACCAAAAATTTCATTACTTTAAGCTATGCATTTATATTGTACCAATCATGATTGGATGTATGCATTTCCTGAAGCTAATGGTCTGTCCTCCAGATTACTGAAAGCTAAAGTTCCTCTCTCCATCACAGTTTTGTCTGTTGTTTTTAACTGATGCTCGACTGGACTTCAGAATTTTGGACCACTATGGAAATAGCTCAGCTCCGATTGGGGCTTTATGGTTTGCACTGTTTTCTACCTTTCTCCTTTAAGTTTCCAAGCACAGAATTCCGCATCCTTGGAGAGGCTCCCTAATGGTGCAGAAAACCCCTGCCTTGTCTGTGAGTTGCCCAGTTTCATTTAACGTACTAATAAGCAGTTGGCCATCAAACGTGCTCTGGCGCTGGACTGTTAATCCTTCAAAGGCACTGGGTTCTCCCCACCTAGATAGGGTGTATTTAATAAGGCATTCCTTAAAGAGCTCTTTAATCAGTACTGCAATACTGCAATATTCAACAACGGGACTTGCAACAAATGCCCAGGCTTGTTTCACAAGCTTTTCCTTCTGCACCTTTGATAAAATTATTTAATAAAAAAAGCAACATACTTCTCCTAATGACTTTTGTGAACCAAAGTACCAATACAGGCATGAGAACAAAGTTGTCTTCTGGTTCAAGAGGGGCTGTTTTATTTTCGACCTAAAAAATGCAAGACCATCTCCTTGTCTTGCTCCAACTATTCATTTAATGGCTGGATAGCTCCTACGTGGCAGTCCTACCTGGCGGTACACAGAATGAAGACTTGGCCGTAGTGCTGCGTTGTATGGAGTCAGATACTTGGTTTATCAAGGACAGAGTTGCCTGTCCTGTCTTGCAGCAGTTCTCTGGGGTCCTGAGTAGAAGTTTTTCACATGTTGGGTTGCTATCCTCCAGGTGGTGGCTGGAGATCTCCTGGGATTACAACTGATCTCCAGGCAACAGAGATAAGTTCACCTGAAGAAAATAGCTGCTTTGGAAGGTGCACTCTATGGCATTATACCCCACTGAAGTATTTCCCCTCCCCAAATCCCACCCTCATCAGGTTCCACTCCCAAAATCTCCACATATTTCCCAACCTGGAGCTGGTGGCAACTCTATTGACATCTCTTTACTGGGATACCCTAGGGTTTGGGTCCTTCAGCACACAGCACAGATGATGTACCACCGAGCCATGCCCCCCACAACATGCTCTAGCCTTCCCTACTGACTAGAGACAGATCCTATTTTCTAGACTGTCTCTAATAAATTCTTACTTTGCCCTCCCCAAAACATTTGGGGGATATACCATTGTTTGTTTTTAGTGTCGCGCTGACTGGATAGCCCAGGCTAGCTCTGTCTCATCAGATCTTGGAAGCGGGTCAGCATTGGCTAGTATTTGGAAGGGCAACCTCCAAGGACCTCCACCTCTGAAACACTTCTTTCTAATTCGCCACATAGTGGTACATAACACTAAAAGAGCCAGAACTCCTGGCTGCCAGACAATCTTAGGACCTCCTGGCTATTCTACACACAATGCCATACGATAATTAACCAAATCAAATTGTTTTTAGTGTCTTTCCAGGTTCAGCAACGTTCCAGCGTCTGTAGAAATTGACAGTGCCACATCCTAAACAAAGAGAACAAGCCACTAGGGGAAGTAGGTTTGACAACTCTGAGCTGGGAAATTCCTGAATATTTGGGGGTAGAGCCTGGGGAGGATGTGATTGGGGGAGGAGAGAGACCTCATTGGGGTACAATACCATAGAATTTGCTTTTCAATGCAGCTGTCTTCTCCGGGGCGAATGATCTCTGTAGTCTGGAGATCAGTTAGAATTTTGGGAACAGATCTCTAGTCTGGAGATTGATTGTAATTCCAGGACGAAGAGTTTGCTCTATACCCACCCTTGACTACCTGAAGGAGTCTCAGAGCGGCTTACAATCTCCTTTCCCTTCCCCTCCCCACAACAGACACCTGGGAGGTAGGTGGGGCTGAGAGAGCTCTTTCGAGGACTGCTCTTGAGAGAACAGCTGAGAGAACTTGTGAGTGACCCAAGGCCACCCAGTTGGCTTCATGTGGAGGAGTCGGGAACAATGTTTCTTCTAAGCTGTGGAGTCTTGTGAGCCCGCTTGCAGGGAGGGCGGGGTATAAGTTTGAGGAAATAAATAATAAATAAAAAATGTACTTTGTGAGCTACTGGCATTAAAGTTGTGAGTGAGTGATTTGGCTACTGCATAAGTTTGCCCTGGTGCCATGCTTCCTGAGCTAAGACAAAAATGTGAGAACTGGAGGCTAAAAAACTGTGAGGTAGGTCACACTAACTCTTTCGAGGACTGCTCTTGAGAGAACAGTGCTGAGAGAACTTGTGAGTGACCCAAGGTCACCCAGCTGGCTTCATGTGGAGGAGTCGGGAACAACGTTTCTTCTAAGCTGTGGAGTCTTGGGAGCAAAAATTGTACTTTGTGAGCTACTGGCATTAAAGTTGTGAGTGAGCGATTTGGCTACTGCGTAAATTAGTTTGCCCTGGTGCCATGCTTCCTGAGCTAAGACAAAAATGTGTGAGCCGGAGGCTAAAAAACTGTGAGGTAGCTCACACTAACTCAACTTAGAGGGAACAGTGGTCGGGAATCAAACCCGGTTGTCCAGATTAGAGTCAACTGCTCTTAACTGCCTCTCCAGGCACCAACTTGAGGTTGGTAACACTAGTGGGAAGTAAAGAAACCGGGAGTTTTTTTTTTGGGGGGGGGGCCAACCACATCAAACAGTGCCCTTCCATAACCTTTGCCTTGAAGAACCGGGACGCCGCCTGCAGGTCCCACCCACCCCACCTCCGCTCCGTGGCACTGCATCGCCTCAGGATTCCCACTGCAGCATCCCTTCGCTGTCCCTAGCGAGCGGGAGGATCAGCTGCACGCTCGTGCGGCTCCTCCTGTGGCTTTAATTATTTCCTACCCACGAAAGAAGCGCGGAAGGGGGGGGGGAGAAATCCCACGAGGGTGAAACACCAAATTGGGGACGTGTCTCTCTCCCGGCCGCGCCTCCCCGCCGGCCTTTTCCCAGGCAGCGCTCACCGACGCAGCCGCGGACCGGAATCTGCTCGGCGCAACGGCAGCGGCGGGAGCGTTAGGACGTTTTATCTATTTTTTTTCCTCCCTTTTTGCAAGGAGGGCGGCCTGGCTTGGCTTGACGCGGCACCGAGCCAATCAGAGGGCGGCGCCTGAAGGGACTTGCGACGGGGGAGGCGGGCTTTTCTCTCCCCACCCCCGCCAGCGCTGTGCAGGGAGGCTGGGCGGGCGGAGCGGGGTGGGCTGCTGCTGGTGAGGGAGGGGTTTAATACAGCGGCAGTGGTCGTGGCCGCCGGAGCAGGATTCGAGGCGCTCGGATCGCGCGCGCACACGCACATACCGGCTATATAGAGCGAGCGAGCGAGAGAGATACACACACACCGGCGAGCATCTCCCTCGCCCAGCATCCTTCAGCCCCCCCCTCTCTCAAAAAAGAAAAGAAAAGGCGAAGAAGGGTGGGAAGGGAAGCCGGTCCGAGCGAGACAAAGCAAAGATGGCAGGGATCCTCGCCTGGTTCTGGAATGAGAGGTTCTGGCTGCCACACAATGTCACCTGGGCGGATCTGAAGAACACCGAGGAAGCCACCCTCCCCCAGGCGGAGGACCTCTACCTAGCCTTCCCCTTGGCCTTCTGCATCTTCATGATCCGCATGGTGTTTGAAAGGTGAGGCTAAGGCGAAGTCTGTCGTCCCCCCCCCACCAACCCCCAACTGTCCCCCCGTGTCAAATAGCGGTGTTTTGGGGGGCTCCTAGTTGTGTAACCCGTGCAGCCTGGTGCGTTTGGGGTGGGGTGGGGTGCACAGATTAAACTTCTCTGAAGAAGGGGGCAGTCTCCCATATCAGGATTTTGGATTAGTTTGTAAAAATGTGTATGTGTGTGTGAACAAAGATAAGGGTCTGCTTTTCCCGTTTAAAATAGGTTTTAAAGTTAGCTTGTGTCTCTCTCCCCCCCCCCCTCCCCCAAGACCAGTTTCCTTCCCATCCTTTCCCCAGGCTGAGGCAGGCAGTCCTGTGTCTGGAAGGTGAAATTCCACAGACAGTAACTGGCAGACTTGCTAGTATCCGACGGGTTTGTAGAGGATTTTCTGCTTGGGACCAAAAGGCTTTTTGAAACTGTGGCCTCTATACCATTGCTGACCACACATCACCTTTAAATGGCCTGGGGGTTTCATTTCTAAAATGAGCGAGCAGAGTTCAGTCAAGCTTGCTAGGCCCTCAGACCTGAAAGCCCTGCTGGCTATGAATGGGGTGTTAGTGGCACCCAATGAAACTCTGCACATGCCTGGAGGTATGTACAACTGCATTCGTATGTTCCAGGTCTGCTCTGAGGCATTTGATGCTGGGTCGTAAGGGCTGAATCTCTGCAATCGCTGGCTCAAATTATGCCCTGAATATCCCTGTAGGCACAATTTTATGTGTGTTTTTGACAACTTTGTACAGAACACCTGAGTGAAAATAAATTTGTTCCCTTTTAAAGTTTTCTGTAGAACATTGACTTGGTTTGTAGGTTTTAGGAGAAACAGATCAGGATCGTGAAGCAAACAAACTGACAAGATGCTCACATCCAGTACATGTTATCAGGAATCATTTATCATTTTTATAGGAATCTTTTTGACATTCAACCAACTATTAATATTTACTACATGAAAAAGGCCAAAGGGTGATTAGCCGTTTCCCCTTCCCTGGGTTCTCCTGGGTTTCTTTCAGACTGGACTGTAAAAGGCACAAATGGAGGAGATAAGAAGAAAATGGAAAAAGACAAAATTAATACAACTTGCTGATTGCCATGGTACTTAACTAAGAGTACTTGTTAAATTTTAATATTCATTTACATCCCCATTATGTAGCTCATGCTTCCTAGATACTCGTCCAAAGAGAGAACCCTTGGTTGAAAGGTTATGTATCAAGAGTGTCCGTTTGTCGGCAGCTAGTTTTATTCATCTGCATTAGCAGGCATTTTCTCTGTTTTTGTAAACCCCCCCCCCCAAAGGAGCTGGTTCATTGTAGTTTTCAGAGTTTTCAGTGAATATAGCACTGCAAAGCTTTTGGGAACCCACTAATAGATGATGTTTTATTTGGTGTGGAGGTGTGGTATTTGGTGACAATGCGCAAGCCTGCTTTTCTACATCTACCCTTCTGCTGCTCCACAGCTGGCTTCACTGTCCTGTCCCTTCATTTATTTCTGCTATGGACTTCTTGCAAAAATTAGTTACTGGTTACATCTGTACAGTGAATGGACTTTGCAGGATTCCCTACAGAAGTACATGTGTGACAAAGCCTTGTGCTGCTTCTGTTCATTTAATGATGAAATACTATTGTGCAGTCCAGCACATGTGCTCCCGCAGAAGAAAATCCTGTTACTTGGAGCAGCAATAGCAGAAGAAACTGGTGGAAGGGTGTTCTGAGAGACTGCTAGGTGAGAGAGACTGCTGCCTGGCTGATGGCTTGGTAGCCTAAATTGCCAGACCTCTGGCAGAGCATGCTTAGTGCTGGGTGGCCATGGGGGCGTGCAGCATGAGTCTGCTGTGCATGGCTAAGAGATAGCAGGAGTACATAATGGCAACGGACTACCTCCTGTCTTCTCTCCTCCTGCTTCCATCTACATGTTGGAGGAGCAGTGGTTCTCACCCTGCCCAACTGTGAGGTGCAACTGTCTCTCACTTCTGTGTTTCTCTGTGGGGTTGTTTGTCTTATCAGATAATCCTTCTGGGACTATTGTGTAGGTATTCAGCACATCCTGACTCTGAACACATTGCTTACTGAAGACATTGCCAGCTCTGGATGGAGAAATACGTGGAGATTTTGTGGGTGGAGCCTGAGGAGGGGGGGCTTGGGGAGGAACTTCAATGGGGTATAATGCCATAGAGTCCACCTTCCGAAGTAGCCATTTTTTGCAGGTGAACTGAACTCTGTTGCCTGCGGATCAGTTGTAATAGCAGAAGATCTCCAGTCACCACCTGGCAGTTGGCAGCCCTGCTTACTACTGCTTAATGATGTAATGTTACGCAGAGATTATGTGTATAAATAATATAAAACCTGGAAAACAGAATTATAAGGTGTGATGGGGAATACCACGTACATGTTGTGTGCCTTCTTAAAGCTATATAATCTGAAGAGGTTCCATGTTCGTTTTGTTGTCATTTTCAATGCCATGTGCACTGTGGGAGCCATACTTAGGGCTGATGGAAGTCACCACTGCCTCCTAGGCTCCGTTCAGGGAAGATCACAGGCCTGCATTAGTTGTGGGCAATACAGATGTCTGTACAGTTTGAGACCTGAGATAAAAACAGGAGACAGGAAACAAAGGTGAGAAGGGGCTAACCAAAGAACTGATGTTCCAGAAACCTCAGAGCACTTAAGATGAGGAGGGGAGAAATACTACTGAGGGGCACATAGGAGTCCGAGGAAGGCGTAGCTAAAGGTAAAAGGTAGACATTGCTTTAAGAACTGGAAATGGTAGATGAACCTGAAGTCCAAAATGAAGGAAGATTGGGATGCGGCACAGGGCCTAGAGATGGGTACTGCTGACAGGAGGAAAGCAGTCCAGGAAAGCAGAGAGCCAAGGGAACATATTGTTGCTAAGTTTAGAGTTTGGGGAAGAAACTGCCCATTGTGGCTTTCTGCTGTCAGAGAGGCATGGTGACCTGGCAACCGTAAGAGGGCAATGAGTCCCAAGAAGCAGCTAGTGGAGAAGGGTGTAATTCAACGTAATGATTTAAACTAACCAGCTGGTTCTTCTGGTCAGCTTTAAAAAGTGTTAGCAAGCCAAGATAAAAATGCAGCGTTAAAAGGAATCTTTCTGTTTGTCTGCTGGCGTGTATTGTCTGCATGGCTGTGCCTGAAGTACCCTGGTTGAGTAGGAGGCATTATGAAGAAGCTATAGGCCCTTCTAAGAGACACCAGAAACAGTACAGTTCCCAGTGTATTCAGCGTAAGCCGTGTCAGCTGAACTAGGTTGTTTTTGGAGTATAGATTTACACCCCAATTTGGGCAGAGATCTTGGCTGTGTGGCTTTGTGGCTGAGTGAAGGCCTAGATCAGTCCCAAACGTGTTGTCCATGCAAGCCGTGATACCTGCAGACACCTTTCTTCGAGCCCACCAAGCAGGGCTCCAGAAGATCTGATTGGCTGTGCAGATTGAAATAACATTGTTTCAGTGGCAGCTGCCACCACACTGTTTGTTTTATTCTCTCTCACTGCTCTTCCCCAGTGTATTTTTAAGTTATCTCTCTGCTGAACTTCACCTGGGCTTCCTCTGTGTGTGTGCGCCAGTCATTTTGTGGTTGGCTCTGCCTCCCATGGCAGCCATTTTGTGGTTGTGACCACCACCTCATGGGAGAATTCCAAAGATGCCCACAGGCTCAAAAAGGTTGGAAACCCCCTGGTGTACATCACGATAGCTCAGTACAACAACTGCTACAACAGACTAACATGGCTGCTTCTCTGGTATTTAATACAGTGCCTTGGGATTTCAGGCTTGGGGGGCTGTAATTTTGATCCCCACAGTGGTGGTGAGGAAGCCTTTTCTTGTGGGCCATTTTCTTCCCTCATGCTGTTTTCTGTCCCATGGGGGGGGGGGGACCATCCTAGGACAATCCTTGCTGCATAAAGCTTGTATTTCTATTAAAACTGAAAGCCAGAAGATCGGTCATGGATCTCCCAATATCGCATGTAGTTTTTCTTTAAGGAACAAACCATGGATGGATGCTAAACTAGCCCCCACACTATTTTTGTGTTTTTCGAAAGCAGCTTTGGGAGCTAAGAACTTGGGAGTGGAATACCAGTGGGGTAATGGGGAGAGCCAGTTTGGTGTGGTGGTTAGGAGTGTGGAAGAACCGGGGTTGATTCCCCATGCCTCCACATGCAGCTGCCGGTGTGACCTTGGGTCAGTCACAAGTTCTCTCAGAGTTGTTCTCTCATAAGCAGTTCTAGAAAGAGCTCCCTCAGCCCCACCTACCTCACAGGGTGTCTGTTGTGGGGAGGGGAAGGGAAAGGAGATTGTAAACTGCTCTGAGACTCCTTCAGGTAGTGAAGGGCGGGGTATAAATCCAATCTCCTCCTCCTTCTCCCTGCCTCCCTCTCTGCCTGCTGTCTGCCTGCAGCTTCTCTGCTCCACATTTCCCCAGTCCTCCAGCTGTTTACCCCTTCCCTTGGTGCAGATGGTGCTTCAATCACATCTTTGCTGTCTGAAACACACATTTTTGAGTGACACATAGGAGAGGTGAAGCTGCTTTGGGAAACATGTCTTGTATTCTCGATCCACCTTGAGCATTGCTGATAGACAGTGGGTATAAATATATCCTAAATAAATACAGGCCTTGTGTCTGCAAAGAGCTGAAATGTCACTGCAGGCCTGGAGTGGCTGAATGATGTTCAAAAGACAGGATTGCTATGTCCTGCCCAATACTCTTTGCATCTTCCATTGGCAGCTGCCCACTTTTTGGATTTACTTTTGCTCTTGAGCATCTTAATTGGACAAGAAATTTCCAAATGTTACATATCTAGTTATAGAATGCACAGTAAAAATAAAGCAAGGCTGTACTGAGCTGGCTAAAGACAAAGTTGTTCAAATCTAACCTTGCATAGTTTCTATATAGTTTGATGTAGTGGTTTAGTGTGCGGACTCTAATCTGGGAGAATCGGGTTTGATTCCCCACTCCTCCAC